AAAGAAAGAAAGAAAGAAAGAAAGAAAGAAAGAAAGAAAGAAAGAAAGAAAGAAAGAAAGAAAGAAAGAAAGAAAGAAAGAAAGAAAGAAAGAAAACCACATCTTTAATATCTTTAAACAAAAAATGTTCAGGGAAAAATGGCTCCGGGGGAGAGCAGTTGGGAATTGTCGAGGAGGGTTCGCACCTCAAATCCGGGGTCAGGGAGGGCTCTGGAGGATTGGGATCGCTGTGTTTGTCCCATGGGTAGGGGACAGGAGTTGGGGGTGACCCGGGCAGTGTCCCCACCCCGGGTCCGCGCTCGCTGACCCCCGGTAACGATCCCGCTCTTACTGGTCCGGCAGCACTGGATTTACTGGGGCCGAGTGACCTCTGCTGGTTCGCACCCAAAATATTCCCTGCACGTCGATGATCCGGAGAGATGGAGAGAGGAGAGTTGGTCCTTCCTTCCCAAAAACACCCGCTCGGCTGGAAAATSCCCGAAAATCCAAGGAAAACCCCAGGAAAAACTCGGGAAATCCSGGAAAGKGGCAYTGYGCGTCCCCGTTTTKGGGAYAAACCCCGGCAAAATRGGGCWGCTCAAGCAGAGAAGGGGCTGGACKCAACCAGGGAGTCCCAGGAGTGGGATTTCAGGGAAATTCGGTGGGGTTTGGGGAAATTTTAGGGGAAGTTTACAGAGAGAGGTCTCAGCTTATGCTGAGCCAAGAGGGTTGAGCCTGACACACTCCATGGGGCTGGGAGTGACAGAAATCACAGCCCTGAAATTTCCAAACATTTKGGAAATGTTTTCCAAAATCAAGCTGGGTTTTTATACGGCCAAATTAACAGGATTTGCAAAAAGTTGGGAGCTTTGGGAAGAACTCCTACCTACACTAAGGAGTCTAAAGTGGTGAAAATAAGGACCTAAGGAGCTCTAGAACCAAACAAAAGYGTTCAGACTGGAAGGGACCAGAAARAAGAAACTAAATKAAATTTCTTCTTTAGGACCARTCAGCWTAGGAARGGAGRGTAGGGGAGGGAGAAATGTTTATTTAAGGACAAAACTGTTGAAGGAATTTTTCATAACATTAAATATAARGTAATATAAAGATGAAAACCTTTTTATTGAAGTGTGTTCTATATGTACATATATGTATATTGCACAAAATTTACAGAAAGAAAGGTTTACTAAGGTAAAAAAAAATAATAATGTTGGAAATAGTGATTTAGAGTTTTAGTAAAGAGTGAGACTGAAAATGAATCCTTCAAAGTCTTTAATTGGAAAAACTTTTAATTTCTTCTGTGCTCTCGGGACTGAGTTGTATCAGAATCCCAAAATCCCAGAACGGTTTGGGTTGGAAGGGACCTTAAAGCTCATCTCATCCCACCCCTGCCATGGCAGGGACACCTCCCACTGTCCCAGGCTGCTCCCAGCCCCAATGTCCAGCCTGGCCT